GGAATTGCTTGGTTGGGCATGGCTTCAGCTACAGATTAATCTCATGTTTTGCAGTGAACTTTGTATCAGAGTGACAAAGAATGAAGTTGCATCCACCTAGTTTGCACGCCCAGATGAGGCACTGTCTCACCCAAATTTTAGGTGATGGAGAGGGCTGTCCAGCCTACCTGACATAATTGCCTTAAGTTTCCTAAGTAGACAGCATTAGAGAAAGGTTTTGGGTATGTGCAACAAAAAGTCCCATATGTTTACATTTTTAATGCATTGGAGTCTTTGGACAGGATCTTAGAAAGAAATATCGGGAAATGCCGAGCATCTCTGTTCACTCAGAATTTAGTTCACCAAGCTTTACTGGTACTGAGCAGCCAGTGCTGCTACTCTTTTTTGTAGCAGCTGATTCTGAAGTACTCAGCTGGCAAGTGGGAATTCCTGGGTTCTTGGCCTCTTCAGTATAATGAACTGCAGATCCTGACCCCACGACTCCAGATGTGTGGTTCTTACTGTGCTTTGAAGTTGAATCATAGCACAGCTCACACTTGTGAGGTCACAAAAGAACACAAAGAATCATCAACTCCAGGAACTGGTACCACCAGTTATTTTCTGGGGCATAGTGCTTCCCCATATAAACAAGGGAGCATGTGGACTATGTCTGGTTTAGTGTCCAAAATTAGCCTGCATCTCGAAACAAGCAAAGGACCATATTCAAGTCACTTAGCTCCATCTGAAATTCATAGAGTCTTGTGTCCTGTTGTCTGGCTGTGGGTGTTCTGAAGCATGTACTCAATGGAAATTTTAAGCTAACTGGAATTTAAACTGCCTGAAAATAGCCCCAAGGCAACAACATCAGGATTTAGGGGAGACTGTCTTCAGTGAATCTCTTCAAGTACATGGAGCCCTGGAGCTATTTTACTGGTGCTGAGAGCTGGGCAGGATGCAGAAGTGCTGCGGCAATCACAGTCCTGATTTTTCTCCTACCTAAGCTTGAGATGAGAAGATCTCAGGATGGGGCCTACCTATGCCTGTGAATGTGGTGCCCTGTTTTGACAACACAGAGCTTCAGAGAATATTACGTGCCTGAGAGTATTTGGTAGTTCAGGCAGTGCAGACTGAGATTTCTAGAACCATAGGACCTCTGCGTAAGCCAGCCATAAATTTGAGTTACTGGTACCTTGGGACCTTTGGGAAGCACCTTAAGAGTTACAGAGAAAATAGCTACAAGAAAAGCATTTATTTTTGTGACTACTTTTTCACTTAGTTAAAATCAAGGAATTTGATTACTTAAATACAAAGTGTTATGTAGTTGTTTGTCTGTGGACTTAAGATACCTGTTGATCTGTCCTAGTAGTAGCAACACCATGTGGAAGATAGTCTGCACTTCACATGATAAATGTCTAGCTTAACTGTGTAAGGAATGTGTGTATGTTATAAAATGTCGTCTATATAAGGGACCAAGTGAGCCCTATTAATACTTCAAAGTGTCAATATTAAGAATTATGATTTTAGGCTAGACTTACATAACTCTGCATCCTTAAGGTAACTTGTATTTAATCCAAATTACTCTTCCCTTAACTGTGGAATTAGAATGAAATTCAGCTGTCACAGATAAGAATAATGATATTTATTAATAGTATAAATCATTCAAACACATGGAAAGAATTTTAATGTGTGAAGCACATCAGGACAGGAGATCACAGTCCTTAAGGGATTGATTTATCCTTGACTGCTGTGAGCCTTTATTATGCTAATGATAGATATATATTCCCAAAATCCGTTGAGTCTATCTATGCTTTACCCTTTGATTTCTTTATTAACTGTCCTGCCTTGTCACTACACGTTCTTGTTAATTCAGATCAGGTTTTGCAGCTTGCGTCATACTTGCTATTTTTTACCAAAATGGTTTATTGAGTTCTCTAGCATCTTATGTGCTTTTCCCTCTTTGCCGCACCTCTCTGCTGCTGCTGCCAGAAGGGCCCTGGGTGAGCTGCCACCAGTCTGACTCTGATGCTAATGGGCTTCCTTTTTTTCTACAGCAGTCAAGGCAACCTAATTAATCATTCCCAACTGACATTAATAAACATATTTTTGGTAATCTGGGGTAAACATGTTCATGTACTCTAGAATACTGAAAAGTTTTATCTGAATATGTAATTTGGTTTCAGGCACTTATGTAAACATTACAGTTTATGGTGCTGCTGACTTTGCTAAGGTTGTAAATTCTTGGTATTTCTAAAGTCAAGATGCAAGTTTAGGTGGATACTCGTAGGTGATTTGCTCAAATACAACAGTTCTTTGCAAACACTGACCACTGTGATACAAGTAGATGGCACCCTTAGTATAATCAGTAAATAGTGAAGCTGTTTATAGGTAGTAATGTCTTTAAGGATATAAACAAGAGCAAAACAAATAGGCTAATGTAGATTATCAGCTGATAGACTGGCTATAAGATTATTAGAAAGCTAGAAGAAAAGCTGAGAAGTACAGAACATCTCCCATGAACTTATTTTAATATGAAGAGTAGAGGGATTATTCTAAAACATAGCATTCTACTACAGTGTGTACCTACTTCATTATACTTTTTTCAGTACAGGTATGTCTTCAACATCTTGTGCTCTCTCTTGGGACTAGATATATATGAAGCTTCAGCTGCATAATTTTGCTAATGTGCTATTCACCTACAATTAAATATTCAGCAGGATACTCTTTCTAGCTAAGCTCATGTAGCAGTTATGAAAGATTAATTGAGTGTTATGTTTCTCTGTAATGAAGGAGTTGAAGTGAGCATTTCTGTTGAAAATTTCAGATTTTAGGTTTAGAAATTATGGTCTTTATTATGTGTTATGAATGGAACATAAGATAATTGATCTATATAGAGTTACAAATTTTTATTGAAATCTTTCTCTTTCAGGATCCCATCCCAGCATCTTAATTACAGCCTTCATGTACTTTGTTGTCTTTACCTTGCATTTCAAAATACATTGTAGATACTTCTTAACTTGACATGCAGTAAATAACCTGAGGAAAAACTAAGGACATTGCATAGCACAGTGGTGTAGATTTGCAGATCTGGCTCTATGTTATAGATTTTATTTGGATTTTCTGTTTCATCAATAGTAAGATTTTAAATGACACGTGTATCTGAATAGCAGCTCTGTGGCAATTTCTGATAGAATTCATTTATAAGACAGTGTTAAAAAAAAAAAAAACAGATTAAAGCAGCAGCACAGTTCCAATTCCTGTCCCTTGAAGGTCCTTTCTCCATTTTTTTTTTTTTTTCCTCTTCCCCACATCTTTCTCTTACAAAATTTTCTTGCATTGTTAATGAAGTGCAGTCCCAGCGCTGGTCTGGAGTCTGAAGGGTGAACTTAATCAGCAAGTAGGAAGTCCTAATCCTTGTAAAGCCAGTATGCATAATAGATGATATTAAGCAAGCCGCAGTAGATTGTACCTGTTCAGCAATTGCTGTAAATGTGACATCACTGATTTTGTCTGTGCTTTTTGCTCTGTGTTTTACACAGAGCATTGATTTAGGAAGATGTCTTTTGCTTATTACCATTAATGTTAGAATGGTAGAAAAATGTGAAAAAGGATTTGGGGATTGGTGTGAACTCAAAGCCGTGAACTGGTTTACTAGCAAATTAGGGATTTGATTTCAATTATGATTCTGCTGCAAGTATAAATGAGGTTCTTTTCTGAATTTCATTAGTGGATTTTACTCCAGCTTCAGTCTGTAAAAATTTAGAAGGGAAATTGTGACCAGATTAACACTCTCTTAGAACACAGAAGATCTGCATCATGTCTTTAAACAGATTTCCTGGACCTCCTCAGGAGGGAGAAGGAACACCTTAATTCCATCTACCTGTTTGCTAGGTTTTTAACTTGGCTAAAAAGAGGCATCACTTATATATCCTGGAGAGTCACCCATCCGAGACAGGAGGCACTGTAGCATTTTCAGACTCTTGCATGACAGTCAGTGGCAGTTGCTTGTGCAAGGATGGAGAAATTCAATAGCTGAAATTCAGTAATCCTTTATGTTTTCAAACACTAATTATCTGTCGCACAGTTGCGCTGCCAGTGAGTCGGCTGATGCACTGGGCTCTTATTACTGTGATCAGCAGGCAAAGAGCAGAACACCAAAGGAAGGAAGCTAAAAAAAAGGGACTTCTGACTGCGACAGAGGTTACAAAATAAGTAAAAATTGCCCAATATTATGTATTTTGTATCAGTAAGAAAAGGAAATTCGTCTGATGTTCTGTTTACTGAGTTTGCAGTGATAAAGTTGATACCCTGCAGTCTTGGAATGGGCCTGTTTTATATCATTTAACAATTTTATATAGTAAACATATCTTTGTTACTTATGAATCTGAAAGAGAGAGCTCTTTCTCCTGTAAGAAGTTATTTAGTAGATAAACAGAATAATTGAAGGCTTCATTCAGTGGTGCTAATTGGTACTGGATTAAATCACCTAATCAAATGACTCTAGTATAAATTCTGTATACTAAGGTGCAATGTAAGGTGGAATTTGCATTTTAAGTGAATAAGGGTAGCCAGGGGTGTCTGCCAAAAAATATATATATGTAAAAGGCATTTTTTGATCTAATTTCAAGTTGAGATTGGTACCTTTTATATGTGAAAGTCCATTTGCATCTTGTATACAGATATATTCTTAATGTATCCTTTGTATTTATACTTGCTATGCCTTGTGTGGTTTATTCTGTGTGTACATGTTCTTTATGGCCACCTTCACTCCCTGTATAAATTTGTCTGTCCACTTACTGTAGGTACTTGCCCGCTCCCAATGTATGTTTTTTTTCAGCATGCAGGTGATACTGCAGAATGATTCACCCAAATACCATCCATGTAATTTCTGGTTTGGGTGTATTGGCAGCTCAGCCAAGACACAAACTTTCAAAATAAAAACTTTCAAAACACAAACTTTCTGGTTTGGGTGCTTTCATGGTCAAAATGCAAACTTTCAGCAAGTTTTACCTTTTGCATTTTAGGACTATAATGATGAAATTCGCCAGGAACAGCTGAGAGAACTGTCATATTTGAATGGTTCTGAGGATTCAGCGCGTGGACGGGGCATTCGAGGAAGAGGGATTCGTGTGCCACCTGCAGCTCCTTCAAGGTGTGGTAACCTGAGCTATTATGCTAATGGCTTTAGACAGCATAAACAATGGCAAAACAAGCATATCTAAAAAAAAAAATAAAAATTAAAGAAAGTCAAGTACACATCATGGTCAGTGAACCAAAATGTTTTCCTTCTGATAGCTTGTATGATCTATGTTATGCCTACAGTTCTATCACCTACAATTTACAGGCTACAGTGAGTGGTATACAAATAATCAACAAATCAGAGCAGATTATGAAGTTGGTGAAAGGGTATTTCTAGGAAAGAACATTGCTATGTTGGCACAGCAGTGTAGTGGTCAGCAGCATGAAATTGATGGTCAGTGAAATAGTATAGTCAGAGATGGCTACATAGTCTGGGTGGAACTTTTATTTGCCAGACAATTACTTTTTTTTTTTTGTATGTGTATTGTATCTATAATACATATATATTGCATTATATATTATCTATTGCATGGATTAACAATTTTGTATGAATTAGACTGTCATCATCTAAAAACACTGATGTATGAATATTTCATGAATTCTTCCAAGTATTTTTGCAGATACAGGTAGCAGCTCTGCTCTTTTGTGAGGCCAATATATAATCTTAATACACTCTTTCAGACACATTTTTCACTGTGAGCCCTTAAGAAATCTGTTGCCTCAGGCATCTAAGTTACCTAGCAACTTTTAGGTGTCCACAGACATCATTTCAGGGTAAGTCCTAAGAAATCCACTTTTATTTTGGAAGAAATAGGATATGGAGGTACCTTATTTCATGCTGACAGAGGAGCTGTTCTTTGGTAATTGAACTGGCTGATCTTGCCTATGACCTTTCTTTTTTCCCCTGAAGGTTTCCATCATGTTTTCACTCAGTTTTTCTTGAACGCAATTTTTTATCAGGAATATGATGCACATACATAGGATTTTTTACACTTTGCGTTCATGACCATCTTCCATACAAAGTATTTTTGGGCTCAGAAACAAGTCTTCCTTACACCTAAGATATCTGAAGGGCTTGACTTAATAATAACGTTCAGGACATCACTGCAACACACTGGCAGCTTTTAAATTCGGTTCAGAGCATAATCAGCGAAGTTCTGGCTCCTGCAAGATACCCAACTGATTGCATCAGTTGCACAGATACAGAAACTTGGATGCTTTGCTTATTCTCCAGTCAGATAGCCGGGGAGAATATTAAAAAAGAAAAACAACACTGAAGTATTTAAGATAAATATTTATGATAATAATTTACAGTAATAGCATAATGACATTTATAGTGGTGCAGTTGGTAAGCTGGAAGGAAGGGATGCCTTCCAGAAGAACCTTGACAGGCTTGAGAAGTGGGCCATATGAACCTCATGAAGTACAGGAAAGAACAAGTGCAGAGTCCTGCACATGGGTAATCCATGACCAGTGTCAGCCCAGACTGGAGTATGAAGTGATTGAGAGCAATTCCTAAGGATTGAAAAGGATTCCCTAAGGAATGAAAAGCAGACGTGCACTCGCAGTGCAGAAATCCAACCATATCCTGGACCACATCAAAGAAGCGTAACCAGCAGGTCAGGGAAGGTGATTGTCCCCCTGTACTCTGCTTTCATGAGACCCCACCTTGATTACTGCATTTAGCTCTAGAGTCCCCAGCACAAGAAAGGCATGGACCTGTTAGAGTGGGTCTAGATGAGGGCCATGAAAATGGTCAGAGGCTGGAGTACCTCTCCAATCAGAAAGCCTAAGAGAGTTGGGCTTGTTCAGCCTGAAAAAGAGAAGGCTTCAGGGAGCCATATGATATAGCTACAAGAACCTCTTTTTAACCATTAACAACTTCTGACTTACCAAATACTTTACAGCAAGGTGGATATTGTATAAATACATAGGAAGATGCTAAACCTCCCTGCTCTTGTCTGTATGCTACTCTTCTCTCTGCACAGTAGGGGAAAGCAGAATCCTGTGCTGCACTTCCCTTGTGCTGAAATAAATTAAATGGACAGCAAAGTTATCACTCACTTTTATACTCTTGCTCTACTTTGCCTTGAAAGTTTCTGCCATACTGCAGCATACTCTGCCAGTCAGTTTCTCCCACCCACCAATAAACATGAGAGTGAGAGTGGTGACTGCCATCATAAAATAGTTTGAGAGCAAAAGAAAAAGTTACTCACTTTCTTCTCTATAAGTACTTTGGAGTAACTTTGCAACTCTGTGAACTACGATGATCCAGAATTTCATTAGTACGAGCAGCAAGATGAGGTGTAAAAGGCACTAGATGGTGTAAAAATAATGCCTTTCCATAATACGAGTTCTGCCTGATATTGCCTAAAAGTGCTTGACATTGTAGCTGCCAAAGTTATATGACACTTTAAATAACAGTAAAAATGTAAGAGCGTTTAAAATGCGGTAGCACTTGTGTGTCCTCCCTTGCCGTTCACACCAAGGTAATCATTCGGTTTTTACCCCCTCAGGGGACGTGGGGGTGCAATTCCTCCTCCCCCGCCTGGAAGAGGTGCCCAAGCACCCCGAGGAGCACCAGTGACCCGTGGAGCCCTCCCAGTCCCACCAGTGGCGAGAGGTGTCCCCACCCCTCGAGCAAGGGGCGCCCCAGCTGTCCCGGGCTACAGACCACCCCCGCCACCTGCACACGAGGCCTATGAAGAATATGTAAGTAACTGCGTGCATTCATAACATGTGTGAGCCAAGCTGTGTGGGGAACATCAAGTACCTCTGATCTGGAAGACTCCAGGTCAAAAATTCTGTCTCTTCTGCTTACCCCTGTGGTAAATTACAGTCTGGGCGATGCAGTGTGTCTCCAGAGCTGTGGTTTTGGTGATGTGGGCTCATAGAATTGTTCACAGCACAGTTTTGGATATGAGAAGGTCATACTGGGTAGATCTCAGGGTGTCATGAAAGAGCAATACAGATATTCTAAAGATTGTATTATAATTAAAAGTCACTCATTACTGTAGGCAAGTTCTTAGGAATAACAGATTATATCCTTTGTGAGAAAATGGGATTTTTTTGGTTCTTCAAAAACCTTTTTATTACATGTAAATAGATACATGTAAGTTTGTATTCAGCATTGTGTTATAGATACATAACAAATAGAAATTCGGGTAGTTTTCATGGAAGCTGATACACTGATGCATATTTAGCAAGAGCGGAACTGTCACTTTTTCTTATGAGATGTTAAAAATAATTGTTCTGTAAACATCAAAGCTTTCAAGTCATCCTCATTAATGCTCCCTTCTGTAACTATCACCATAACAACAAATACCCAGGTAGAGAGGAAAGTGCTATCAGTTACGATGTCTGACTTTTTCCAGCTGTGGCAAATCCGAGGGTGAAATGAACATCCCGCTCATTCTGTAATTCTATCACAAGGAGAACTGTTGAGGAGACACACTATAATTGAGAAGATGCAGTTTTATTCAATTAATAGTCTTCTTAGAACAGAAAAAAAATAAACCGAAACAGAAATTAGTCTTTGTTGAAAAAGCTTTACTCAACAATCTGTATTTACAGAGTAGAGATTAGATCACGGCCAATTCAAATCAGGGACACACATTCTGTTAATGCCAAGAATCACAATTGAACAACAGCTGCAGAAAAGGAGGGGAAGAAAGTTACTCTCTGTTATTCTTTACCTCAACACAATTTCCATCTTTAATGAGACGATAGCTCTGCTAAAAAAGGAACTTAAAAAGTATATCCTTCCTTGATAGGTAGTGTATTATCCACTAGTGTCAAAATGTATGACGCTTTCTGTGCAGAACTCCATCTTTTTTTAATCCATGAGTGACAAATTTCAAAATAGAGCTCTTGTGATGTAAGATTAATATTATCAATTTAGTAAATATTTTCTTCTTTTTGTTTGTTTGTTTTTCAGCTACAGTACTAGTAAATGTCCTAGGGTATTAAGCAGTTTTTAAGGAACATTTCTTACACTTTTTATGGATGGTAAATATATGGAAAGCAGGGGGAGAAGTTGAGGGAGCTGGATTATCAAGGTGAGGAAAGCATTCAGCCAATTCCACGTTTTTTGAAGTGCTTACACTCCGAGGAGCGCCAAATATGCACACAGTTAAATGAGTCGTTTTAGTTTGTAATAGATTACTCCAATAAAAACAAATGTGGTTTTGTTTTTATTTTGCCTACTTAGATATGCAAGAAGCATATCACTTTATAGGACAAATTCAGATGTTTTAGAGATCCTTTCATCTCCTGTGTCCTTTCAGCATTGCTATTCCACTGTTAGGAATATGTGGGTTTCCCCTGACTTGCTGTCATTCACCAGTTTGCAATGAAAATCTTTTGCCATCTTGCAAAGACTTGTAAGTGCAGTCTAAATCATCTTGGTATTTTATGGGTATATTATGACTGAGATAATAATTAAAACTCTGTTGGATGTGAAGGTAGAAGGAAAAAGTCACTGTCATACATCTGTACATGAATTTGTAAATGATATTTTAGGGGGAAATATTTTTCATTTTGCAGGAAATAATCAGTACAGTTTTTCTTCCCAAATAAACCACTATATTACATATCCAGCTGGATACTAAAAGCAAGTGGATCTGTTTGTTGACCAGTAGCATAATTGTTGTTCTTTCACACTGAATCCTAGAGATGAAAAAAAAAAAAATGAATAATTTATCCAATTTACTTTGTCTTATTTTCTGCTTGTAGGCCACCTAAAAGCATATTACAATTTCGTTGTAAATGGTTTTTGGTTTTGAATACAGTGTTTCACTCCAATTTTTGCCTACTATATGCAAGCACCATTGGTTTGAGTAGTTGTGCACGAGTGCAAAGTCATTGATTGTGTGTATTGATATTTTTGATTTTTCTTTGCTCCAACAGAATGTAGCCATTTGAATGCTGAGCTGGAAGTGAACTCAAGAAATAGAACAGGGTGGCTACAGCACATATTTTTTTTAATGTTTAAACAGCATTTAATGAAAAAAATCTGGAACTACTTACTCAGCACTACTAATCAGAGATTGGACTGACTGACCTTGAAACACCGTAACTGTTCAAATCAGTTTGCATAAGCATTTGAAAGTTTGTGTCAGTCTTTTGTAACTAGCCAATATCTAAATATTTTGAGGTTTCCTGATGGCCTGAGAGGCCAGAAAAGCAGATGTCTAAAAGTTTCTCAAGAAAACTCTTGTCACCGGTGAAAATACTCACATTCAACACTTTGAATGTTGAACAAAGAGAAAATTATTTGAAACGACTTTCAGAAGGAAAGAGGTAGTAACCCACCTCATGCCTTCTTTACTTATTTTTGAAACATATATGTAGTTTTTATTGCAGTGTACATAGTATCTTAGAGGAACTTCGGAAGGCTACCCACAGGAAGAGGAGGTACAGACATATAGAAGATATATGAAAAAGGAAATAAACGCCTACTACATGAACCTTACTCACTTTAAAAACAGCTCACTGTGTGTCAGTTTGGAGGAGGAACTTAACTAACAGCTGCATGCAGCTTCTGTGCTCAGAGAGGTGGTCCTGGTGTGTAACCTGGTGTCACGGTTTAACCGCAGCTGCCAACTAAGTACCGTGCAGCCACTTGTTCCCCACACTGTGGGACTGGGGGAGAAAATCAGAAGAGTAAAAGTGGGAGAGCTCACGGGGTGAGATAAAGACAGTTTAACAGGTAAAACAAAAGCTGCTCATGCAAGCAAAGCAAAATGAGGAATTCATTCACCTCTTTCCACCAGCAGGTGTTCAGCCACCTCCAGCAAAGCAGGGCTTCATCATGCATAATGGGTACTTGTGAAGACAAATACCATAATTCTGACCATCCCCATCCTTCGTTCTTTTTCCCCTAGCTTTATGTGCTGAGTATGACATCATACAGTATGGGATGTCCCTTTGATCAGTTGGGATCAGCTGTCCTGGCTGTGTCCCCTCCTAACTTCTTGTGCGCCCCCAGCCCCCTCACTGGTGGGTGGGGTGAGGAGCAGAAAAGGCCTTGACTCTATCTAAGCACTGCTCACTGAGAAGTAAAACATCTCTGTATTACGAACCCTGTTTTCAGTACAAATCCAAAACATAGCTCAGTACTAGCTACTGTGAAGAAAACTGACTTTATCCCAGCCCAAACCAGCACACCTTGTGAATAAGAGCGCGGTTCAAGGCTATTAACCTTAGTTCAGTGTGACCGATCTGTAAGTGCTCCTTTTGTGCTGAAGGAGACGTCCTCCAGAGTTCAGTTCAGAGCAGAAGCTTGACCTGGTCATTGTGAACTTTATTCAAAAGAAGATTCTTTCACTAAGCTGAACTTAGCCCTTTGTCATTACTCTCTCAGATAAAATTTTACATTTCTAACTGCAAACATCACCATAGTGAAGTTGTCCCTAGTTGCTGAAAGGGACTCAAAACTTTATTAAAAAACAGCCTTCTGGACCTCAGGTTCTGTTGTGTTGTTTTGTTGTTTAACTGAAAATCACTCAAGAGTGGTTCCCCATTAAATGTGTTATAGATCATACTCCTACTCCTTCCATAAATGCAGTACATAAATTAAATTGAATTGCTGCTTAATTCTTCTTTCTGTGTGTAGCAATGCATGCCATGACCAGCTTGCAGCAGTGACTCAGTCTGGAACCTTTCAAAACCGCTGATTTACCAGTGACCATGTTGTTACTCTGAGGATGCTGAAAAGCCTGCTGTGAATAGTAGGGAGTTCCAGTAGGCTCCTCGGTTAGAACTAATGACAAGATGTCTGTTTGGGATTTATCAAGCAGCTTCTGTAAATTAGGTTCATATCTACATTGCATTGGGCACAGATGTTTCGATTAGAGAGAATGGTACTAGAATTGCATTTTAATTGCCTCTTTTCATCTTGTGTAGTTGTGGTCTGGGGTTTTAGTTTTGTCTATTAGACAGCTGATGTCCCATCTACAAATCTTAAAGTGTTTCTATATCAGTGCACCAAGATAGGAGAGAGTAATTGAAAATGAGTTCAGATATTGTTTCAGTTCTGCATCATCATCATTATTGGCAAGGGCAAGGGCAAGACCGATTTTGTGCAACTTTTTCATTACAAAGGTTAAGATTTATTTGATTGGACATCTACTTTATCACGTGTGTGACATATAGTAAGGAAAATTAACATTAGTACAATCTTTACAGATTGAGGGGAGATTTCTGGAGTCTTTTCTCAACAGTAGGCAACTTTAAGGCTAAGTAAGGTCTTGCTGGCAACTTCTGCAATAGACATGACTGACTGAGGTTCATGATTTATACCAAAGTGAAGAGTTAAGTGCTTGAGTAGATATTCTACTGGAAGAAGCATCCTGTTGAGGCAATAAAGCCGGTGTTCAGCACTATATATTTTAATCTGAGCATCCAGACTTTTTCACTCAAGATTAAACCTAAATATTTGAAGGGTACTTAACCCAAATATAAGCCAAAAATACCATTGCTTTCAGATCCTGTGTTGGAAGGATTTGCATTTGACTCTGGAGCTGTATTTTTGCCTTCTGAAATCAGGAGTTAGTAATGAGCTGTGCAGTGATATTTTTCTTTGCATTTTTTTAGAGCTATGATGAGCCTTGCTAAGAGGTCTGACTTAGCACCCCAGATGCAAAGAACTGACAAAAAAAGAAAAATTTGGGACTAAAATATGCATTGCTTTTATATTTTACTTGCAAATGCATTTTTTTTTCCTGGATAAGAAAGACTTTTGCACAGAAAGCCACTCATCTTAATATGAATACTTAGATGAGTTTCATGTATTTACAAAGTACATAATTTTTTTTTCCAAGAAATAGGTCAGTCTTTTGAGACACTGAGAAGCTGGTACAGCTCCTAGGCCTAGGATAGCCAGATTAAAAAGCAATTTTAAACACAAATATTCTCTCTTGCCTCTCATTTAATTGATCAAACCACCCAAACACAGCTTCTTGTTATCTTCTGGAATAAGTGAAGAGCTATGCTTTTAGAAAGTCACTGGAAAAGAACCACACAGTAAGATAGATTGTGCTTTTAATGTCATGTTGGTTTCCCCTTCATTTCAAGCTATTTAAAACGAAAGCAAATGCCACATTCAACTGTTTATTCTATGCTCAATGATTATTTACTTTTTTGAGTAGTTTTCAAACTGAAACAACTATGCTCATTTATTCAGTGCCAACCTAGACAATGAAAAGACTGACAATAAGAGGCATTTTGTCACACTTCAACGTTTTAAAAAGAAGGATCAGCATTTACATGATCCCCAAAATTGTGGTTGCAGAACTTTTGTTAATATTTTAAGCAGGAACTCATAGGGCTTTTAAATCCATTCTATCTGCCACTTCTGATGGAAACTGTATAAAAAGTGGCACTTCCTGTTCATGACATACTTGCACCTGTGTTAGAGCTTTAATGTATTTGTTAAAGTGAGCAATTGGTACTTGATTCTGCTACTTTTGAAGTCTATTTGTATAATCCCGGTAGGGCATTCACAGTGAGAGTGAGGCCCAGACAATAAAGAAGTCTTATTCCAAACCGTAAAATAGTGAAATATATTGGATATAATGAGAATCAAGGGAGATTATTTTCCTTTTTTTTTTTTTTTTTTCCTAAGTTGGTATTTCCAAGTTTTAAGGTATGGCACTTACTTAATTCTGTGCCTCTTTTGGGTGAAAAAAAAGTCAATGAAGAATGTACTGAGACTAAAGAGCATTTAAATAAAGCTGGAATTATAGACATATTAATCTTCATGGCTGAACAACATATTGATTAAATATGATTGATTACCTATATATGCCCAAGGCACTTAGAAGAAGAGCTAAGCTATATTCAAGTTACATCTGCTGTGACTTGAAAAATCAAATTTTATCTTTACTATAATAGCAATAAGCAGAATAATGTTTATATTATCTGAAAGAACCTTTTGAGCTTTAGAAGAATACTGTGAATGGTTGTCTCACAAAGTTAGAGTGGATTTTTCAGTTAGTTATTTAAACTTTGGAGAATTTGGGCTGTGGAAAGTATAAATATATTTATTGTCAGAAAATCCAGCAACACAGATACAGAATGAAGTAGTAGCAAATATTTTGTGGTTTTCTAAGAGCAAAAACCACCGTCAGCACCAAACCTTCCGTATTTGGGAACCTGCAGTTCTACAGTTTTTTGCTTACCTATGCAAACTGTACTTTGGATCTTATAGATGGTACTTGCCGTCTCACAGATGATAGTCTGAATAAATAAGGCTTGCCTCATGAGACCAAAGGAACTATCCTGACATCAGTGCATCAATGAACATGAATGTTGCTTTCACACTCATCACTGCTATGAATTTCTCACAAACTGGCAATGTGCTCTAAAGCAGACTTTATTATATAATTTTCCTTATTTGTTTTTATTTTATATAATAATTATTTATAATAATTTAGTAATCATAGGTATTCAATAGACTAAACTTTTCTCATAAAATACATAAAACTCTGACATCTACTTATAAATGCTGCAGAAAGATTTTGTGGAGGATAAGCTTTTCTGTTGTCTTCTTCAGGCTCTCCTTACTTAGCAAAAATAATTCTCTTCTTGACCTTATTTGTCAAGTTTTCAGTTCAAAATTATTTTCTGTGCTAGACAGAGTAGAAAAGAAAATGCTGAGGCAGCTGTACATGTTTTTAGTATTATACATGATGTTAATACAACCACAACCTAATAAATATTTATATTTGTTATCTAGAGCTCTAAGTGAAGGGCATCTCTCGACTGATCATCCAGATGATCATGTGGTCCTTAAATATTCATGGTGTATACAGTTATATTCATTCCTAAGATCTTACATAAAAAATATATGGAGTATTCCTCATAGAGACAGAATCTGCCTCCATCATGCAGTGCACCATTTAATCATTAAACAGTGCGATTGTTCAGGAGTCTGTTACGAAATATCCTTCTCTACTGTCACTTGGAACTGTCACAACTTGTCACTCGGCGATATGATGGAGAGGAATCTTGGTTGGTATAAAGTAACTCTGTGGGCATTTGCTGACTAAACATTGTCATGCGACTGTAACTCCATCAATGTTATCTTTTTCATGGTAAATTGCAAAAGTGAGTTGCAAACTTTTGTTTATACTTAGAGAGTTGCTGTTAAAGACTTGGGATGAGTCCAGTTTAATTAGAGCTGTTGAGAGTTTGGTTACTGTGTGAATTCAGCATGGGTGGAAGGCTTGGGTTTTCTCTTTCACTTCCCAAAGTTTCTTATCCAGGTTTAGTCCACCAAGATACTAAAAAGCAAGTAATTTTGCACTGCAAAGTTCATCATGAGTGGGCAGTTCCCAGGGAACTAGACACATACAAACTCAGTGGTAATGAGAACAGCTCAGTTTTTGCAGACTGGTAAGCGCAGAGACTTCAGCTGTGCCAGGGAGAAGCCCTGAGCTCTAGTTTGAGGAAAGGCTCTGGGTCATAAGATGCTATGGCACTTAACGTCATCACACCAGCCTTGCCTCCAGCATAGCACTCTTACTCACGTGTTTTTCAGTGTACCCTTTTGGGGAACTCAGATTAGTGGCTTTTTGTTACACTACATAAAACAAGTGCTCTTTATAGCAATAGATTTCATGTACACCTAACGGAGTACTTCTGGTTTGTGTATTATCTTTATTTACTAGCAATTTTCAGTGTAGCTAAAAGGTTAACTTTATTAATATAGTAAAATTGCACAGTTTAGGAATCAGTTTATATTAATCAAAGAATTGTATGGATTGTTCCAAAAGAAGATTTTAGTTAAACTGGAATTTAAAGGCATGTATTTAAAAATACTTCCTGTTGCAGTAAGCTTTCATCAGAGTTCATCTATGTTGTTCTCTTTAGTACATTTGTGACATTGTCATCTTGTAAAAAATACCTCTGCATAAAACTGCAGAGATACATATTTAGCAGCTGCACTTAAAATCAAAGGCAGACATTACAGAGCACAGTTCTGTTTCATTCTCTGGCTGATGGGCCTTTTAGCCAGTTGCCTCTATCCATATACTTAGTGCTTACTCAGGATAATTGAAAAAGGAGATTTGGTTTTGGTACAATAAAAGGCCTGAAAGTTGTCTTACATGCTTATAATCTTTTTTTCGCCTTCATTATGTTCAGTGCATTTGCAACTGATTTTCAGTTAGGAAGAAAAATGTTTGTGCTAGATGAATTATCTCGCCTATTTGGGCATAGAAGCACCTGTCCAGCAATATGCCTGTTCTTTCTGGGTATTTAAGGGATGCTGAAATGTATAGGTGAGCCTACATCTTCATACACATAGGAATGCATATATATACCCCATGTATATATTGTATAGAAGGCTGTCTCCAGATGTGTCTTGGATGCAGGCCACCTGCAACCACACAGCAGCAATTGCTTCTCCAGAGGCAGCATGTGAATGTCCTGTATCTATTGCTTTTGGAAGGAGAAGGGTTTATAACTCTACAACTGCCTTAGCATTTCCAGTTAATCTTTGCTTGGGCACAGAAATGCATACTTGCATTCTGATGCGGATATGTGTATATGTTATCTATAGCTACAGCACAGAAAAATGTGGTCCATTTCTTCCAAAATGTCTGTTTATAAGGACTTGATATTGCACAGAGCTCCTTTACAGCTAGCAATGTGCATGAGTAATTGTGTAAGGAATCAGCATGAAGGATCAGAGAAGTAAGATTTAACATATATTTTTTCTTTTCTAATATGAAAAAAAAAGATACTAACAAGTATTTGAAATAATAGGTTTACTCAGATGGAGTGGATGAAGTACATGGGGGGTGTTCTATATTTTGTTTAGCAATGTGGTATTAAAGTGACTGGGACATTCATATGAATATCTCTTTGTCAGAGGAAGAGGTCAGCGTAGTTCTCAAATATGCTCAGTTGTAAAACAGTCAGATCAGGTATATTTTATCAAAGGTGCAGACTTAATGCACCTCTTTAAACCATAGCAAAAATGTTGAGAAAATTGATCTTGTTATGAAACACAGTACTTTTGAGTTTGACCTATAGGGCTCTTAGAGAGTATAGCAATCACTAGAAGAGGGAGATGCAGTATAACAGCTCCAAGACAATAAAGCAGAAGGCTAGAAGTGAAAAACATTCTTTCTCCATATAGACCTGTTGAAATTATGGTTGCCTGAATTTTAATAGCCTCTATAGTCATTTAAGTGCTGTTACTCATAGACAGCTAATATCTGTCTGACTGACGGCTGTTGTTTTGCAGCTCTTAGTATGGTGTAAAAATCTGTGGAATGCAACATCTGAAATCATGGAGTGCAATGTTTGTTCAGTGAAATTAGATGAGTAAATTCTTCTTCTATCCCAAGACCCTCTTGCAGACGTACCCCCGCACTACCTTATGCAATACAGTAAAAGCACTGTTAAATGTTCTCAAAATCAGTATATTTGTCCAAGTGGAGTGAATAACATTACATATCAGTTCCTAACAAGGTGCTTTAAGTGTAGCCTTGGTGTTCCTACTGTCCTCCAACTCTTTTGGTGTCAATTACTGAGTTTCTGTTATGAAAATATTAGGCATCCTTCAGATAATATGCTACCACAAATTCTTTTGATGGCCACGTGTCTGTCAAATGCAAATTATTTAAGTCTGAATGGGAACACAGCAACTTTAAGGTCATCTTTGATTTGGACTTTCCAGTCCCTGATTGTTGTTTCTTTGCAAACCAACCTTTGCAAACCAACCAGATATATGAAAGGTGAGTCTTATTATGGGGCAAGATATAAATTAATGCACTGTACAGAAGGATTTTAATAGTTTTAGTTTCTCTTGACCTGTATTAGACTCACAGAGCTTTTACCAGTTTCTTTTTTTTTTATTTAAAAAAAAAAAGAATAAATTAAATTATTAACCCTATTGATTATTCTTTCTGAGGACTAAACTGTAAAATATGCAAGAATACATTTGAAGTGTGCACAAATCAGTATTTTAAAAATAAATTGTCCAACTCTGATGTTGCATCATTTTACTCAACACTGGATTTCTATAATCACATGTACTCATGCCCTCGTCTTTATCAAGACTTTGCATGTTTATACCAGTCCTCAGATGTGCTAGAGCTGGGAATTTTCTGAGAAGAAAAAAAAAAGTAATTAAGAAATACTACATTTAAAAGACGTTGAAATTCAAAGATATTTATTTCTATTTTATCAGGCAGTTACCATCAGTCATTGTGCTTTTTGAACAAACACTGCTTGTAATACTTAACTGACATGCAGAGTTAAAATGTATGCTTCTTTCTTTCAAAACAAATCTTGTTTTAAGAATAGATAATTCCATTTTTATTACCTATTTGTGTGCTACTGCAAAAAATGGCTTCGGAGCCAGGTTTGGTTTGGCTCGCTTTGGTTTTATTGCCGAAATTGCTGTTATGTAAAAGTTTGCAACGTTGTTTTATTTTTATTTAATTATCAATAATATTAAAATAATAAGTGTTTTTAAACTTAAACTGAATTTTGAACTTTGAGTTTTCCAAGTGTTTTGACAGATCTGCATCAGTTAACTAGATGGTATGCAAATAAAGAAAAAAGATTATAAACAAATAAAAGTAGAGGGTGTGTAAATCAAGCTGTAGAGGAGATGCAGAAGGGACTTGTGTTTCGTTGCAAGTTAGATTTTGCCATATTTAAGTATGGCCACTGTAGCTGGGAGTAAAAGAAAAGAAAAAAGAAAAGCATAGAATCACTGAAATGCAGTTGTGGAGTCTGAGTGCATCTATCAAATAAATTAGAAGCCGCAATACTTTGGTCATATTTCACTTTCCCTGAACAGCCATTTCACTTTCCTGCAAGGCCACCCTTCATGCAAACACCCAAAACAAATAAATCCAAAAAGTCATTTGGAGCCTTTCTAGCTTATTTCTCCTGAGGTATCTATTATAAGTTGTCATTTTGAAAAAAACAGCAGAAGTATCTTGTATGTGCTGAACGTAACACAGAGCAACAAGGGGGGTGGGGGGGGAAGGGAAGTAATTTTGATTGTGTTTTATTCATTTCACCCAGCTTTCATTTTTGTTTTCTAAGGTAAAAATCTGATGCAAGCGATTTGTCTTGTATTTGCATAGTCTAATTGAGTATAGTAGTGGAGTATAATTATAAGTGAGGTTACTACCTCAGATGTAGCTGTAGTTAGTAACTGTATGGCTGAATCAATGGTTAGTGCATGTACTATTTTTATCTCCATGCACAGTGCAATATGTAG